TGATGGTCTATGATGGGTCGAGAGAGGCGTCTGGCCCTTGGCATCTTTGTCCTGCTGGTGGTCGACGTCATTTGGGTGGCTTCATCAGAATTGTCGGAGGTATTATTTTCTTACATCATGTTCAGTTTTTGTCTGTGATATAACATGAGAAAAATATAGTAAGTTACAGAGTTTACTTGCTGTACCAGTTCATTTCTACATTCAGAGTTGCCTGAAAAGCTCATGCTTGCATTACAGTATCTATATTGAAGACACTGAGTACCATACATCTCAACAGCCTTGAATATGAAAAACCGCACAACTGTTTTCTAAATGTTTGTTGAAGAGAGACTGGAAGTAACGGAGAGATTGAGTAGGGGTGGAAGAGGTCATGGAGGAACCTGTTGAAAAGATTAAGAGAGAGAATGAAGTCTGTTCCCTACCACATTCTGACCATTAGAATTTTACTAACCACAGTGACTTTGAGAGCAGAATGTCTGGAAAAAAGGATACTGTACAAGGAATACTAAATTTAGAAATAAGATGTGCAAATAAAAGGAGACTAACCAGGTTTCTTGAGATGGTGTGGACAGGTTGAGAAGACGGGGGAACAAGGATTAAAAAAAAAAAAGTAAATGGTAGGAGAGAAAGTGGAAGACCAAAAAGGAGATGAAAGAATGGGCTGGTGTATTTAATGGATAAAACGGGAATAGACAACAGGGAAGAAGCAGAGATCATGGTGTTGAGTAGTTTATGGGGATGGACCTGCCACTGAGGGGTGGTATTAGGTTTACTAAAGTAATGTGGGTAAAGCAGATGGAAATCTTTAGATTGTGTTGTGGAAGGGAAGCACTGTAGCAGAACACATCTTATGCACAAGTTATTAATGAATGATCAGCAGCAAATAATGGGAGGGTATCTGTTTCTCTTGAGCCTGAAACACTTTCTTTTTAGTATACGCTGTATGTAACATTAAGAGAAAATAAATATATAGTATAAGGGATGAAAAATAATAGACTTTTTTATATTTTTCAAATTTTATTTTCAGTATATCTTCAATGATACCGGCTTCAATAAACCTTTTTTCAGTACATACTTAAAGACCAGTATGTTTTCACTATATTTGCTGGGATTTATATTTTGGAGCCCCTGGAGACACCAATGTGCCCAAAGAAACCACGATGAGAGTATTTACCAGGTAAGTTATTTATTGCAATTCATATTAGATTATTTTTTTTTTATTTTTTATATGTGATATGGAAATAAATTTCTTTAGGGTAATTGTGTTGCTCTTTTTTCTGTGTTAACTAGACTTGAGTCATGCTATACATACTGTAGAATATTTACTGATTACAAAAGGCATTGGTTATTCCTTTTATTTCCAAGGCCTCCAGACCACCATTTTATTTCATAACTTTGCCTTCTCTTTCCCCTTTATCCCCTTCACTTCCTCTTGTGCTGAATAGAATCATCTGGCATTAGCCAAATGAAATATTTAAGAGACAATGAAGGGGTTAATACAGTAAAACCTTTATCGTTTATCAATCAATACTTTACAAATTGGCTAGTTCATACATGCAGTTCAATGTGTGTTATGTTCACCAAAAATTAAATATTTTACACTTCCATCAATATTGCAAAATATAAAATTAAAAATATAAGAAAATGTGTTCAACAAAAAACAATAGCAAAGCAAGTAGTGATGTACAGTATGTTCATTGTACAGCCCATTCTTCCTGCATCACCTGAAGAGGCACTGGGAGGGAGTGTATATTAATATGAAGTGAAAAATGTATTGTCAAAGCACTTGGTCAGTAATGTGTCCAAATTTAAGCTTTCTAGCTCAAAAATTTCCATAAATAACATCCAGACAACATTAAGTGTTGAGTTGAGTATGCTTCTAATATTCTCTTGCTATTACAGGAAGTGGATTCAATGGAGGATGAAGATTTACCGCTGTCAGACGTTTGGTATGTTGAATTGTACTTGCCATTTGTAGTTGTGATGTAGTACTTAATTGTGTTATTAACTCCTTCACTTCAGTGTTCAAATTATGCAAAGTATAAATAGATTTTGCGCCTTAATCCTTACAATAATTTTGTGTCATTTATATTAAGGTGATACAGCAATTATTAAAGCATAATATTTCATAGCTAAATAGAGTAATTTCTTATTGCTGGCTTTGTTCCAACAATTTCAGAAAGAGACTCAATTATAGCCTCAAATCTGGTGTAAAAGCATGTTGTTGATAAGCCTCCAAACTCCTCATTGCTCATGTCCCTCATTGTTATCTCTACCATTAGCATTGGGGAGTTCTGATGGTCAGTCGTCATTGTTATTGTCACTGCTGTCGATACCTTTCTTTTCTATATCTCTAAATTAGGTGTAAATTAATGTAAAAATAACAGTAAATTTATTGTGTGGCAGTTGTGGTAAGACTGGTGGAGGAGTGTGGTGTTTTTTTTATGAGGGAAAGACAATTGTTTGAAGACCGGGTTGGGCAAAGTGTTTTATAACCATTTTCCACGCTTGTGTGGATTAGCCGTGATTATCTGATGGCAACTTTCCATTCTACAGTCTTTTGCATTCCCTCTTGTCAGGTTCTTAACTCTTAATGTCATTTCTTACAACCTCTCCCCATGTCATTCTTGGCTCTTCTCCCCCCACATTTAGACTCATACACCTCTTGACCTAATTAGTGTGATTCATTCTCCAAAATTCCAAACCATCTCAGCATACTGCTACACAGAATTTTGCCAATAGAACTCAATACCAGCCACCCTCTTACCTCTGAAAAGGATTTTTTGTCTTTCAGTGCCACATTGCATATCCACCTCACTAGTCTCATTTAACTTGATGGATAAATGTATTGCAACTGCATAGGTTGTAGTAGAGTGGTGTGGTCCAAAATTGTTTGGGTACACCTGTTTAAAATTTGCATGACAGGAGAAATTATGTATTAATGAATATATGTAGCACATAGTGAAAAGTGTTCACTTACTTAAAAATTTCTTCTATACAAAAGTCTATTCAGTATACAGACTGCATATAGTGAGGAATATCTATACTTAAACACTTGTCAAAAGGTTACTTTTAACAAGTTTTATGAACAATCTGAAACCCAGAGAATACATTAATTCTTTAGAAGTTGCTATTTTGCATGACCTGGCATTTTCTGAGAATGCAGCTACTGCACTGTGTGGAGTTTTACTGTGCTCAGAAACCTTCACCTAAGTCATTGATGAGGACCTCAGATGACTACGTACCTGAGGCTGATTACCCCCATTTTGTTATTTATTTTTTTCCCAAGTTTTTATCCATTTTATTATTATTATTTTTTACAGGGATTAGCCCACCCGGGCACAGGTCACTGACCCACATCGGGGCCTGGGGGCGAAAATGTCAGGAAATCTTAATCAAATTTATGGAAAATATTTTTTAATGTTTTACCAATAATTATCAGGGTTTATACTGATTATTGTAATGTATATTATAGAAGTATTTATTTTTATTACTCTTCTTATTAATATGAAGCTCTTGCAGACGAGAGACAGGCGCACCCCTCCACCTGTGCCCATCTTCACTTTGGACCAGCTGGCATCTAGTGTTGCGAGAGACAGTGATGCGAATGCTCAACTGACACATTTGGTCCTGTGGCACTATTTACCCATTCAACAAGCTAGAACGATTTATAACAACAATGATGAAAAGGTGTCTCTAAATTATTTTTGCCAGTCATATGTACAGGAGTTGTTAGCATTCAAAGATATGAAGTTAAGAATGCATTATAGGAAGAAAATTTTGTTGAAGAATTGGAAAATAAATTGGCATTCAACTCAAAAATTAAAACAAATATTTATTGGGGTTTATGATGATAGAAATATGAAAAATGAGGGAGTGAATTTAGAACTTAAATGAGAATAAATTGTGTGTGAAATGTAAAATCTACTTTTGGGGGAGGATTAGTAGTTGTGTGTGTGATCTGTTGTATCAGGTCATTAGGGTAAAGTACAATGATGAAATTTTTAATAAAATTTTTAGTTATAGATTTTGTTGAAAATAATAATGTGTGAAAGAAATTCACCATTGTTGTAATGTTCTGTGAGAGGGAAGTTGTACTGAAGATAGAATTATATATGTTGAATGTGTGTTTAACAGTTTTGATAATAAGAAAGTATAAGTTAAAGGTATATTACTGTAAGGAATGACATTTTTAGGATATCTAATGAAGGGGAAATTCGGAACTGAAAAGGTCCGCTCCAGTCTATTATATTGTTGTGTGTACTTTACATAAAATGGATAAAAACTTTGATTTTTTCTTTTTGTTTGAGATGGTTTTGTCATAAAAATTTACATTTGAGAGAGATCTGTATAACAGTATTCTCAACCTCTTGGTGCTTGGCATAACATGAACAGTGGAGATTATTGTTAATCCACTTGAATTACGATACCTGTAGTATTTAACCAAGTCATTAGTGCTAATTCAGCATATGGGCCCAGTTAGAGCTGAGGCCAAAGTGGTTAAGACCCAGACACTGAGTCAGAGACAATTTAATTTTTTTATGCCAAGATAATGGCTGCCAGACTGATATTAGATATTTAGAAATGACAGTTGATCAACTGTTCAGTGTTTTCCGGGTGTTTTTGTATGTTTGTAAGCATAATTCCTCTGACCCTTGCTTCATGCGAGGATTACATTCTGCAAAAACTTCGCCTGACTTGAAATCACAAAGTGAATTCTTAATCTTATGGGGATGTGTTCTACAACCATTTATGGAGCCCCTCTACCTTAATTCTGGCACTTTTTCATAACGACAATAAAAGACAACAGTAATGCTATAAAAGTTGAGGAAAAATCATTATAATACTCTAAGGTGGCCTAGAAATAATTAATATGCAATAAACTATAAACTAAGAAAAGCGAAGTGTGTGTGTGAGTGGGAGAGAGATAGAGAGAATGAACGAACGAACTTGGGAGGCAGTGGGCTGTAGCTATGTTGCTGACTCGCCACTCTAATGTGGCTTTGAAAAAAATAAAAATAAATAGTATAAAGCTATAAAATAAGAAAACTTAAGAGCATGGGTGTGTATGTGTGGGAAGTGAATGTTTGTATGGATTCGGTAGGCAGGAGGCTTTAACCGAGTCAGTGGCTTGTCACCCAGACCGTGCTCCCTCCCCTTGGTGTGATGTCATGGCATACAGATGCACACACACAAACACACGAAAGATACACCTGGTTGACTGCCTTGCTGAACTGATATGATATGAATCAATTTCATTGTTTATCATACATCATACAGTATTACGGTCAACCTTTCGCTGAAGTGAGGTAACTCTCACTACCCTAGCCCTGATAAACCAACTGACTGATCTCTCCGAACAGACCTGACAATGAATAAATAAATTTGTGGTCTTCAAAGGTGTTGAGCAAAAATCTGCATCATTGTTTGAGACAGACCTAAGCACCTGGGGATACCTGAAAAAAGCCTCAAGACTTTGGCTCGTTGTTCATTTTTACATGGCTTCTGTTTGTTCAGTGTTTTTGAAGAATACCTTGTATAACTATAGTACTGTATGTACTGTGTAAATTAAGGGTCAACTGTGAGTGCCTTGAGATAAATGTGCAGTATTTTTCAGGTGCCTCCAAGAGTGCCCTGGCACTCACTAGGCTGGTTTGGCCTTTGTATCTGTATTTTACTTACTAAATACTGTTTTAATTTCAATGAAACATAGTTTATCACTGAAAAAAAAATGAAACGGTATTATTCTGTCTTTTTTTACCTATATTCGTACTGTACAGTGTATACTGTAGTGTGCTAATAAACCCCTTGTGTTTAGGGGCTCTCTGCTGAATCAAATTATTTGGCATTAACCAAATAAAACATTAAAAGAGTGGCATCCCCATAGTGAAGGGGTTAACTTGGGGCTGAAATATTGAACACTTAATAATTTATCACATTTTTTCAAAGCCATAATTTTTGTGGTTCCTACACCATGGTCACAGAGTTTAAGTGTTGATTCAGTACCATCACTTTTGCATTTGTTAGGAAACATTATAATGGCAGCATAACTGATTATAATCTGCTGTGCATTATGAGTGATGAAAAAGAAATGTGAAGAGCACAAGTGCACAGATGATTTGGGAAAATTTTTTATATTGAATGTACAGTACGCCCGAATAATTCGTTAATTTTTATTTCGCAGTCCTCTATTATTCGCATGATGACACCCTGGATGTACCCAAGAATGTCTGCGGGTATTTTTAAAGTTGCCGTCATTTTCACTGCTGGGACAAGGAGCATTCGTTCTAGAGACAGTAATTTACTTTACCTGTATTGTGTATGTGTGTAGACACACACATATATATATGCAATACAGGTAAAAAAAAATTGTCCTGAGGGCAAACACATACATTTCTTTGTACACAAGTGAAAATGTACTCAACCTTTCGATTGTAATTATTGAAAAACCTGCTTTCCACTGTTGCAGCTAAAGCCAATGGTAGACTTGGCTAATACAGAGTATCTTTACCTTTATAAATAAGGATATATTTGTACCACTTTATTTGACACGAGTCAGACCTATCATTGACTATGAGTTTAATACTGGTCACTTTTTCTAGCCAAATATAATGAATTACTCCCCCCAAAATGCAGCATGTAGCAATAAATCTAGTCCCAGAGTTAGCATACAGGGCATTTGTCATATGAGGACAGATGCAAATCCTTGGGCCCATAGACATTACAAGACAGAGGGAAATTGGACATAGGATTGAGGTTTACTAGCTACTGCATAAATACTAAAACATTCACTTCTCAAAAATTTGGAAATGCAATATTGTACCAATTACTGTACTCTCAAGAGGCCACAGCTTCGTGTTAGCTAAACCTGATCATTGGAGAACCACTATGAAAGGAAACTGATTAGTTAAAAGGACCATAAATCCCTGGATTTTTTGTATTGCCCCCCCTCCCCTCCCCAAAGTGTTCTCATATGAAGCGTGTCAGTTCTTTTTCATGGATAACAAGGTATGACCACAGTATAGTCGAGGTTAACATAAATAATTTAGTCTTGAGTTGGCCATTGCTGTATGAAAAAGTTATGATATTTTCAGAGGGACATAATTGTATTGTAGTTTCATGATTATTTCAAAATGTTCAGAGCCCTAACACCACTCACCAAGCCCTCTCTTTTATTTTCAGAGTGAACCAAAGTATGTTCCTCTGAAACTACAAGAATTGCAAGAAAAAAGCTCTGATGGAGAATCTGATGACTCTTCAGTAAAGTCCGTCCGCTTCAGCAAATTGACAGAGGTATGTAGTGATGCTTCTTTTAAGAGAATACCAGTAACTATTTAAATTTAAAGGTAAGTCTAGATTGTTGGGAATGTAATTACTGAAAGTGAAGATCTTCAACAAATTCTTTATGTCCAGGGCTTAGTTTTGGAATTTCTGTAGTTCAAGACAGAGTTAATATGATTTAAATCAGAGTGAAAAAATCATGATTAGATTTTATTTTACTTATTTTTTTATACTAATAATAGAAACTATATTTTCCCTTGAGATTCTTTGTGGTAGTATAGCTACAGTTGATATAATTCAGCTCCCCACTAACTTGAATAATTGATGCAGAGCTCTTCCGGGAATGAGAGATTTCCCGGTAATGATACAAATTTCTCAAACCCGGAAAATTCAACATTCCTGGAATTTTTTATTGGTAAAAGAATACTACTTCGCTATTCGCAACCCCATTCTCATGGTGGGAGGCTACTGTCTTGCCTTTCAAGAAGACTTGAAAAGAGGCTTTTTGCCCTCGAGAATATTGCCCCATAGTTCTTATCTCCTGTATCTGCAAGCTGTTTGAAAAGATGGTCAAGTCTCGATTAGTATACTACCTGGGGAAGAATGCCCTTCTTTCACCATATTAATCTGGCTTCCGGATGATGCTGCAACAACAGATGCTCTTGTTTGTATTGAGTCCTCGGTCTGTGAGTCCTTTGCTCATTGCCAACATCTCATCTGTATTTTATTCGACCTAGAGAAAGCATATGACACAGCTTGGAGATTCGGCATCTTTAAGGACCTTCATAATTTTGGCTTGCAGGAAAATTTACCATCAATAATAGGTCAGTTCTTGGGCTGTTGGACTTTTAGGGTCCACATTGCCACAGAAATGTCAGCACCACATATTCAGGACCATTGCAATAAATGGGGTAACAGCTTCTCATTGTATGTAGACAACTTGGCCACTTGGTATGCAGCTTCCCGCAAGTTAGTGGCTGAACGTCACATGCAACTTGCACTAGATAAGGCTTTTCATTGGACCACAGAGCATGGTTTCAAATTTTCTCCCTTGAAGACTGTTACCATGCATTTCTGCTGCTGCCGCCAAGGTGTTCACCTCAATTCCAATCTACAGCTCTATGGTTGCCTGTGCTGTGTCACAGAGACCCATTTACTGGGCATTATCTTAACAACCAGCTTCTATAGCAGCCACATGTTTATTACCTGAAAGAGTCTTTAGTATGCTCTCAAGTTATTGAAAATCTTGGGGCACACTTCTTGAGGTGCTGACCGACGAATTCTGCTACACCTTTACCACATAGTACTAGTTAGACCCAAACTGGATTATGGGTGTGAGGTGTGCTCCTCAGCCACTGAGGTTAGACTCACTACACTGAACTCTATTCATCATGCTGGGGTGTGACTGGTGCTTTCAGGTTCTAGCCAATTCCAAGTCTACTGGTTGTTGCTGATGAGCCACCCGATGATCTTCGATGCCAATATCTCCAGGTCCAGTGTTGGTTTTGCCTCAGTTGCCTTCTGCAATCTGTAACCAACACTTGTGTAGCTGACGAGAATATGTCCCCACCCTACACCTAACATCCAAGCCTCGCGCGACCTTTTGACTTCAGGATAAGGAAGGTTGCGAGTCTTCTTTGTCTTTCTCCTATTCAGATATGCCCCAAGCAGTTCCCTAGAGCTGCCCTGTGGATTCTCCCTGAAGTTCAAGTTTGTCAGTATTTTAAAATAAGGAAGGACTTGTTCCTTCCCTGTGTGGTTCATTCTCTTTTTTTTTAGAGCATGCCTCGTCTCACAGAGGGACTATCCCTGTTTACACCGAGGACTCAACGTCAGATGTAGGTGTGGGTTTTTGGGTACCGGTAGTCTTTCCAACTTCTGCCGTGACAGTAGTCTACCCGCTACGGCAGCTGTTTTACAGAAGAGCTTTCAGGTATTTTACTTGCCCTCAAGATTATTTTTACCCGACCTCATTGTGATTTTACAATATTTAGCAATTCTCACAGTGCTCTCCAGGCCTTTGCAAGTATCTCATTGCCTCATCCCTTGGTTATAGTTATTTTAGAGTGGCTGTTTCTCTTTCAACATCTGGGCCAGAATTTCATTGTTTGCTGTGGCAAAAACAGCTGCTCCTCACTCTGTGGCACATCATTAACATCTACCTGCTTCTGATATGAAGCCAGTAATAAGAGCTGACATCCACTCAAGTTAGCAATGCAGGTGGGATGCTGTTGGAGCAAACAAGCTCTGCAACATTCATCCTGCTTTGGGTGCCTGGGGATATCAGGGACTGTAACGCCGCTAGAAGACTATTTTGGTCCACCTCCGCATTGGCCACACGCAGCTGACACATGTTTTTTTTTTAATGGAGAGGGTGCCCCCTCCCCATTTTGATGACTGCATGGTCCCATTGACTGTTCGACACCTGGTGGAGTGCCCCCAGTCTTACAGATCTTTGTCGTGGGCACCTCTCCGAGTCCCAGGGGTGAGACGGGCCTTACCATTTCTTTGGTGCTGGGAGGAGG